TGGCGCCTTAGCCACTTGAACCACAGGCGCTGAGCCACGTCCAGTCAACTTTTCTTTTTTTTTTTTTCTGAGACTCCCTGGATAGATTGCCCATCGTGTCATAACTCAACGACCTCAAACTTGTGGGCTCAAGTGATTCTCTTGCCTCAGCCTACTAAGTAGCTGGGACTACAGGTACCTGCCATAACACTCAGCTATTTTATCTAAAGATGGGGTCTTGTTCTAGCTCAGGCTTGTCTCGAACCCCTGAACTCAGGGTATCCACCTGCCTTGGCCTCCCAGAGTGCTAGGATTATGCGAGCCATTGTGCCTAGCCTCAACTTTTGATTTCTTAAATCATGTAACAATTGGCAAGTACACAAGAAAGTGTGTAACATAAACAGCATAACAGGCAGCGAGAGGTTGTTCCTGCCTGTAATCCTAGCACTCTGGGAAGCCAAGGCATGAGGATCACTTGAGCTCAGGAGTTTGAGACCAGCCTGAGCAACAGTGAACCACCATCTTTACTAAAAATAGGAAAATTAGCCAACCGTTGTGTTGGGTGCCTGTAGGGCCAGCTACTTGGGGGGCTGAAGCAGGATCACTTAAATCCAGGAGTTTGAGGTTGCTGAGCTAGGCTGACGGACACCATGGCACTCTAGCCTGGTAACAGGGTGAGACTGTCAACATAATAAAGTGAAACACTATTGACTTTGATGACCAGAACCTCACCCTCATCTTAGCCCTTCCCTAAACACAACCCTGTCCTGTATACACAGGTAAGCACTGTGCTGTGTGGATTCCCTTGCTTTATCAATTTTAGCATACACATATGACTCCATACATGTTTGAGTTTTATAAAAAATGGCATTAGCTAGGTATGGTGGTAATCTAAGCACTTTGGGAGACAAAGGTAGGAAGATCACTTGAGCCTAGGAGCTTGAAGCTGCAGTGAGCTATAATGCCACTGTACTCCACCTGGGTGACAGAGTAAGACCCCGTCTTTAAATAAAAATAGCATAATACTGTTTTGTTTTGTTTTGTGGAGTGCTGTGCAGCGTCATAGCTCACGGCAACCTCAGACTCTTAGGCTCAAGTGATTCTCTTGCCTCAGCCTTCCAAGTAGCTGGAACTACAGGCGCCTGCCACAAACGCCCACATTTAGAGGCTGGTCTCCAACCTATGAGCTCAGGCAATCCACCCACCTGGGTCTCCCATAGTGCTAAGATTATAGGCATGAGCCACAGTGCTAGGCCTGAATGAACTTTCTTATCAAGTTTTTTTTCAGTTCCTGTTGTTTTTCTTTTTAGAAAGAAACTTTATCACCCTCTGTAGACACCTCACATCAATCTCCAACTCCTAGGCTTAGGCGATTCTCTTGCCTCAGCCTCCCGAGTAGCTGGGACTACAGGCAGCCATCACAACGCCCAGCTACTTTTTTGTTGCAGTTTGGCCAGGGCTGGGTTTGAACCTGCCACCTTTGGTATATAGGGCTGGCACCCTACTCACTGAGCCACAGGCACCACCCCAGTTCCTGTTGTTTCTGAGATATATTCATGATGGGCCATAGGGCTGCAGTCCCCATTCACTGCTTTATAATGTTCTAGACAGTCTTCCCTCAAACACATATCCACCTTTCTGAGAATGGGCTTCGTGATCATCCATAGCATTTTGGTTGTCCCAGTCTCCTGGGTTCTCCATTCTTGCGATGGAGAAACATGATGCCCAGCATACTGATGACACATCAGAAAGGGCCCCAGGCAGACTGGTTGAGTGGGGCTGTGCCCAGCCGTCTCCGGCCCAGAGAGAGTGCCTGTGGCTGCTCTTTTCACTTTTCTCCACTTCTGTTCCTTTGGCCAAAGAACAGAAAAGCTGGAAACAGAAGCTTTGTAAAAAGACAGGGGCACCCACCCGTGTGGTCTCAAATGTTATGGCATTCAAGGCTCCTGCCCACACTGGACACCTCCTGCCTTCCCAGCCCTGTAGCTCTGAGCTCTCTCAAATCAACACCTGCCTCCAGCACAGCATGGGGTGGACCAAGGCCTTCACCACGGGCCTAAGGGTGCCAGGCGCTCCCCACAGTCCTTATTTTCCCCAGCAGCTCTTGCCTCTCCCACCAGATGGGAAGGCCTTTTGGGCACAAGACAGGAAGAGTAGATGACCAAGTTCAATAGGCAGATGGTGGCCAGGATACACCTCTTAACTCTGGAAGGGAAGCAAGCAGATAGCAGCCCCCCAGGGACAAAGCCCAGAGCTGGTGAGGCCTTCAGCTGGGCTGGGGCCACCAGACAGTTGGCACCCTGTCCCAGGGTACCCTCAGGGAAGGCGACTTGGTGGCAAATGTCTCTTCTGGGCAAGCCTGAGGTAGTTCACAAAACAGCACTCCAGTTGAAGCCAATTTGGAAAATTCCAGGGAAAAGGAAATTTACCAAGAGGGGGGAACGGCTGAGCCTTGGCTTGCAACACTCAGATCTTGACCTGGGGCCTGAGAGCCATCCAAAGGTCACCTGAACCCCCAGAGCCAGCACAGGCATTGTGAGCATAGAGGCTCGACCTCCAGACAAGCTGCTGGCTCCTGGGGCAGACCATAGCCCCTGGGGGTACAAAGGAGGGACTCTGTCAGACCCACCAAGAGGGAGTCCTTTAATAGAGATCGGCACAGACAGGAGACACGATGGAGCCCAGGGCCCTGCTCATGTGGGCTTGGGCCCTGAGCCAACAGATGCAATGGCTTCTTCCTGCCCCACTCAGGAGTGCCTGGGAAGGCACTCCTACAGCCTGCAGGGTAGAGGTGAGAAGTGGCTTTAAAAAACACAGCTGTACTAATTCTTCACTTTCACAGAAAAGGGGAACTTGGGAGAGCAGCCCGTTGGAGAATTTTTACACAGAGCTGAGTCTGGAAGCCCACCCACCCTGAGTTGGGCCAAAGCTTGCTGTTCCTCCCCATGAGAAGTCCCTCCTGAGGGTCTGTGCACAGGAAGGAGCAGAACACACAGGGCGGGGCTGTACGACAGGAACATGCTGACTTAAATAGCTTTCCCTCCTTTTCCAGCTGTTTGTGTTCTACACTATGTACATTGTTGTGCTTTATAGCTCCCTGCCCGCAGTCTCTGCCAGGCTGCTGGAGCTCAGGGGGGATGGGAAACCTGATACCATACATGGCTGGGCTGCCAGAGCCCCAAGCCCCCAGGTGGCTGGCATCTAGTGGGTTCCAAGAGCTGCACTGCTGGGCACAGGAGCTTTCAGTCCCTCGGACCTAGGGGACAGAGCCAGCCCCACCACATGGCCACCTCTGTCTGGTTGAGGAGTTGAAACAGAAGGGTCAATGCTGGACAAGATGCAGGCTGGGCGGGAGCAGGCAGGGGTGAAGGAACGAGGTGCAAGGCCGTGAGATTGGGGCTGTGACGTGTGTATGGATGGCGCTGGGCAGGGGCATCCCAGCAAGAACGGTTCTGCGGCAGTGAGCCTGGTGGAAGAGGGTGGCAAGGGCTGCTGCCCTGGGGCCCCTCCACATGGGCACAGGCTGCTTCCGGTTCATGGGCAGGGCTGAGTGGCAGGAGGCCCAGACTCCAGGTGTGTGTTGGGGGGAGGTTCAGGGAGGACCACCAGGTGTCTCATGGGGCTGGGCATGAGGGGCAGGCTGTGGTGATAACCCCTGCCAGGCCAGGGTTTAACACAGGATCAGTTATTCTCAAAGAGAGAGAGCAGGTCATCATTGCTGTTTGTGGGGAGGTCAGGTGGGCCCAGGTAAGACAGGAGCTCGTCCGGGTTGGTCAGTTCTGGGAGCAGCTGAGGACAAAGCACACTACATTAACAGCCATCCTGCCACCTCACTGCATTCTGGACCTGTCCCCAGGCCCAGTGGGGATGCTGAGCAGCTCCTCCCACCCCCCAGGCTGAGAGCAAGCAGCAGCCTGGGATCTCTCTGCAGAGGGCTGCTCTGGGACTAGGAATAGCTCACGATATGCTGTTGACACCACCAGGAATCAAGGTACCCTCCTGAGGTGGCCCAGCTGCTCTGTGTCCTCTATACACTGAGGGTACAAGGCCTGCAAGGGGATCTCTAATGTGATTCCCCAAGGTGGCAGAATTCCAAGCCCCTAGAATTTTCTGCTTTGAGCAGCTCTAATTTTTTTCATGTTGAACTTCAGTGAATTTCTATTATGTTCCAGGGACAGCCACCTGTCTTTCATGCTCTGAGTCTGGACTCCTACAGCACCTGTGAGTCAGGGCATAGAACTACTGAACAATCAGACAGGTCAGACTCTAGAGCACTGGTTCTCAACCTTCCTAATGCCGGGTCCCTTTAATACAGTTCCTGTGGGTCGCGACCCACAGGTTGAGAAACATTGCTCTAGAAACTGTGTCAGCAGCTTCCAGCCTGGTCTTTTCTGAGGACTCAGGCCCACTCCAACATCTAGCCCCACAGCCAGGCCACATGGCACATCCCCCTGTAGCTCTCCCTACTACTCTAGTGCCCAATTTGTGAACAAAGGAGTGGTTCTCCCAAAGGGATCACTGTCCTCTACAAGACTGTGGCCCCTAGGGACAATGAACATACCTCCCCCAGCCCTATCTCCCATATGCTCCCCAGCTCAGGGCTCAATACTCACATCCAGAGCTGGTTCTGGGGCCTCCCCTGCCCCAGACATGCTGGGGGGCCCCATCACGCCTGTGGCAGGACTGAAGGCCAGCTCGCCAGCTGGCCCTAAGCTTGCTTGGCCCAGGGGCTGCCGGGACACTGAGGGAGGGTTTGGATGGTGCAGTTGGGGACCTGGAGGAGCCCCAAGGTTGGAGGTGTGCAGTCCTGGTGTCCCAGGATTGTGGGCAGGGTCCAAGTGACCAGCTGGTGTCATCTGAAGACAGAGAGGAACTTATTCAAATAGCCCCAGGGCTTCCTCTGGGGAGACTGTCCCCTTTATCCCTCAGCAAGACACTGACCTGGCCTGGGAGGCAGGGAGCAGACTTCTCTGGAGTCAAGAGGCTGCTGGGAATGTCAGACTGGTAGGAGATGGAGGTTGGCCCCGGGGTAAATTCAGCAAGGGTTGGGGTGTTGGGCGTGGTGGATGGGAAAGACTCAGGGAAGGTACCAGACCCCAGGAAGCTGGACCCTGCAAGAGAAGAGGCAGAGCCTTGGGTGAGGGGTAGGGAAGGCCCTTGCTAGCAAAGGTGCCAGGAAGGAGGCTGGCTATGGCAGTGGGTGGTAGCAGTGATTATCCACAAACAGCACCGGGAGTTTTGGAAGTTGCTACTTGAAAAGGGACTTACCTCTCACTGCTGCCAGGGGGAACCGGCCTTGGAATATTACTAGTAGTGAAGGCCTTGGAAGTTGTAGGAATGGGACCTGCTATGACCAAATATTCCACACATGTGGGTGAGGACCAGATGGAGGTCCCTCAAGGGGCCAGTGTGTGGCAATTTCCAGCCAAGAAAGTAAAAGTTTCCTCACTCAAAACTGGGGAAGGAAGTGAGGAAGGCCCTCTGCCTATGTCCCAGAGACTGGCTGAGAATGTGCCTGTACCACCACGTCCCTAACGACTGCACGTGCAGGAACATGGGTACCCCGCAGCACACTCTGATTGGAACATTTAGACACTGGGTGCCTGGCCACACTCTCAGGCGAAAAGACTGATCTGCAGAGGATATGTAATTCATCCAGAGTCATCTGGAGTTCAAGGCTGGGCCCTTTGTACTCACCCTGGCCAGGATAGTCGCTGGGGACAGAGGCTGAGGGGGACTGTAGAGGAGCAAAGGGGGCTGCACCAGGGCCCAAGGCTGCGATCATCTCCATCACGCTGGGCATGAGCACATGGGCCGGGCTCACAGTGCGACAGCGCTTCAGAGCTGGCCCGTCGGGCTCTTCCTTGATGTGCACATCGGGCTTCACGGGCACCGGCTTCCAGCTGCACATGGGGTCGATGGTGATCTCCTCGTAGTCGGAGCTGGGCAGGGACACGGGGGCTGGTCACCTCCTGCCTTGCTGCCTGCCCCGAGCAAGCTTCCAGCCCCTTCACTCAAACACTCGCTGCCACCCAGGACCTTCTGTGCTCGGGTCAGACACAACATTGTCTCTGGCCTGGAATCGAGCGCACACTGAGTGGTGGAAAGAGGCTGGTCATTGGCACTCGGCAGGGGCATCCCCCACCTGGTCCTGGGGCCGCCCTCTGATGGCCACAGATGCTGGGGGTAAAGGAAGAGGATGCTTACTTCTGAATGTAAATCAGGATGCCCAGCATGTACTGGTCCACCTCCAAGCCCTCCAGCAATGCTGTTTTGCTGTAGAAAACACAGGGACACAGCTCAGAGGCCTTAGCCAACCTCACCTTGGTCACCGGAACTGTCATTCTCAGCCTCATTGCCTGTTTGAGGTGACCCTGTGACCCTGCACAAGGCAACCCTGCATGAGGCAATGGTACAAGATGACCCTGTGCGAGAGGTGACCCTGTGTGGATTGTATGAAGTGACCTTGCACAAAGTGACAGTGTAAGATGGCCCTGGGTAAAGCCACCCTGTATGAGGTCTCTGCACTCCACTGTCTGGCTTGCGCTATGACCTTTTCCACCAGGCTTATGTATTTGGTGACATACTTAGAGGTTCACCCATGAAGCCTCTGAGGCCTCTTCCCTGATCACATGCTGTGTCTCTGAGACTCACTTGCACACAGGGCACCTCCAGGTCCCCCGTTCACAGTTGAGCTGTAGGTACGACTCCAGGTCAAAGCACTGCAGAAACAAGAGAGAGCGAACATTTGTTACTATGGAATGGGGCAGGGAAGATCTGGCTACTCTGTGGTCTGTTTTCAGGGACAAGTGTCTTATTCATATAGACAAGAGGCCTCTCAGCAGCTCAGTGCCTGGAGCTCAGTGGTTAGGGCGCTGGCCACATGCACTGGAGCTGGTGAGCTCAAACCTGGCCCAGGCCTGCTAAACAACAACAACAAAATAGCTGGGCATTGTGGCGGGCACCTGTAGTCCCAGCTACTTGGGAGGCTGGGGCAAGAGAATTGCTTAAGCCCAAGTTTGAGGTTGTTGTGAGCTGTGACGCCACAGCACTCTACTGAGGGTGACATAGTAAGACTCTATGTAAGACTCTCATAGTAAGACTTAGAAAAATAAGTAAGTAAATAAAAAAGAAAAATGCCAGTGCAGAGCAGTTTGTGCAGAAGCTGCCACTGTGTAACCAGTGGTGGAATGGGTGCGTGGCCACCTGTAGGGGGAGGGCAGAAAGAAGACTGTACCCTGCACCCTTTATCTTTAAAAACTGGAACCCCGTGAATGCAGCAGCTAGGGAAAAAAAGATTATATTTAGAAGAATAAACCACCCAGCCTCAGGGGAGTCAGGTTCACTTGCTCCCAGCCAGCCTTCCTGTCAGCCTGATGGTCAAGGCACACAGAATCCAAGCCTGCCCTAGAGACTGAGGCTCATGCATCAGCCCAAAGTACTTTAATGGTAACAAATTTTAATGCTCTGCAGTAGCCACACACCTGTATGTGGCGACAGTCATGACCACGGGCGGGAAGCTGGATCCTGCGGAAAGTGATGGGGCACTTCAGGGACACCTTGATAGCAGTCTGCTCTACCCCATCCTCTCCGTTGGGCCCAGGGGTGCCAGGGATGGTGCCGCTGCTGAAGTTCCGCTTTACTGACATCAACAAGGGAAAGTACTTGAGTAAAAGTCCCTAGGATAGGGAGGCTGTCAAAGGGAAGGCCAATCAGGGACCCAGTCACTGCTTGAGGTACAGCTCTGAAGGGCCACCTGGAACTAACTACTGCCTCCACTACAGGGCCACATGCCCAAAGAGATGTCTGTGTGTGACATGGGGAGGTGCCCATGGGGAGCAGACTTTCCAGCTTGAACAGGCTGTCCAGTGGCCAAGAGGTGGGAGGGACACTCACTCTTGGTGATGCAGTGCTCAGCCGGCAGGAGGCGCTTCTTAAGGAGGCCCTGCAGCACGGAGCGCACGGATGGGCGATGTACTAGCTGCAGCACGAAGAGGTGGGACTAAAGGGGACGAGAGGATGTCATGAGGGTTGCAAGTGGGGGGTGGGTGGGGAGGGGGGAATGGGACACTGGCCAGGGAAGGTGTGTGTGGTCAAGGGGTGCTGGGGCAAGGGAGGGCCAAAGGGCTGAGGGCGGAGTGAGACGGGGCAATGGATGTAGGCCAGACCAGCCACATTCCTCAGTAGCTGGGGAGGTCCTGTCCTGCTGAGTGCTGATACCCAGGCTGGGCACCTGCTGCCTCTCCCCTGGGAGCCCAGGTGAGCCTGGCATCAGTTAGGAGTTAGGTAACACAATGCTACCACCCACTCCCACAGCCACCTCTACAGCTGTGCTGTGCTTCCTACAGTTGCTGTTCAACTGCCACCTAGTCCTTACCTTGCTGTCAGAACACAATCACCTGAAGTCTCCCTGACTGTCTCCTGCTCACACAGCCACTGTAACTGACACTGGGTCTGTGTTCAACGCTCCCAAGTCCCACAGAACACGGGCTCTGAGCTGCCCCTCCAGGGCCCTCACAACTGGCTGGCTAGCGGCACTCAGATGCAGGTTTCTTTTTCTTGTAGCACAGGTTGACCTGACAGCCTAACACTTTCTAGAACCAGGTGATGCCTGATCCACGGGGGCCCCTGAGCTCCCTGAGTTTTCTGCAATGTGGTTTCTCTTACATAATTAATGTGAGCATCAACTCTAGTAAATTTGTTCTAACTGGTAAACAGCTAGGGGATCCATTTAACTGGATCCCCCTTTTTTTTTTTTGCAGAGACAGAGTCTCACTTTATCACCCTCGGTGGAGTGCCATGATGTCACAGAGCTCACAGCAACCTCCAACTCCTGGGCTCAGGCGATTCTCTTGCCTCAGCCTCCTGAGTAGCTGGAACCACAGGCGCCCACCACAATGCCCAGCTATATTTTTGTTGCAGTTTGGCCGGGGCCAGGTTTGAACCTGCCACCCTCGGTATTTGGGGCTGGCGCCTTACCCATTGAGCACAGGCACCTCCCCAGGACCCCTTTTCTTTCTTTCTTTTTTTTTTTTTTGGGCCAGGACTAGGTTTAAACCCACCACCTCTGGTATATGGAGCCAGCGCCCCACTCTTTTGAGCCACAGGTGCCACCCAAGGATCCCTTTTCTTAAAGGCAAGGAGAACAGATTAAAATGGAAGCTACGGCTTGGCGCCTGTGGCTCAAGTGGCTAGGGCGCCAGCCACATACACCTAAGGTGGCGGGTTTGAATCCAGCCTGGGCCCGCCAAGCAACAATGACGGCTGCAACCAAAAAATAGCTGGGCGTTGTGGCGGGCGCCTGTGGTTCCAGCTGCTTGGGAGGCTGAAGCAGGAGACTCGCTTGAGCCCAGGAGTTGGAGGTTGCTGTGAGCTGTGATGCCGTAGCACTCTACCCAGGGTAGAGCCCCAACAGCTTGAGGCTCTGTCTCAGAAAAATAAATAAATAAATAAAATAAAATGGAAGCTACAAAGAGGTAATGAGGAACATCCTTTTCCTTAAAAAATAAAGCCCAGCTCTGCCCCCGCACCCCCAACAGGGGAGGCCAGGGTATAGTAGGCAGCAGTAAAGTAGGCAGTGGCAGGATCTGAGGGTAGGGGCCTGTTCCCCCCTCCATTACACAGTCCTCCCCTTGACGCCACCTCCCTAGCCCTGCTGGGAACACGCACACAGCAGCAGGCAGTGACAGTGATCTGGATGGTATTGCGGCCCGGCTGGCACACATGCTTCAGATAGAGAGGCTTGTGAGAGGTCTTGTTGTCTCCGCGCTCGATGGTAAGTGGCGTGGCATTGACGCTGACCTGCACTGAGGCCGGCCAGTTGGTGTTCATCTGCCGGTCTTCATGATGGTAGCACTTGAACTGCAGCTCCAGGTCAGGTCTGTTCAGGAAGACAGGACTAATAGTATGCCAGGAGGCACAGAGGGCATGCAGGGGCCAGGCGGGTGCCAGAGGGGCTCACCTCAGCATCAGGGTCTTATAGACGGAGTCTCGGAGTTGGAAGACGTGGTTGCTCACAGCCAGGTTATGTTGCAGGCGGAAGGGCTCCAGAACCACCCCGTCCCGCACAGGGAAGGTTAGCCGTAACTCGTCACAAGGGCCACCTCCTGGGAGCAGAGCCCAAGCTGGTCTCCCAGCCACTAGAGTAGGGTAGTTGACCCCCAGGTACCCTTGATGCAGGGATCCTGGTGCCAGGAACCCCTCCTGCTGGGCATTGCTTGGTAGGCCTGCGAAGTGCCCTGGTGTTGGGGCCGTGGGCAGTATCTCTCCTGAGACCCTGGACTAATGGTCCAATGTTCTATCCTGCCCCAGCCTCCAAGCCCAGTGTCCCCTAAACTATGACAGGGGAACATGCCCCAACCCAGACAGAAGGTATTTCCATGCTTTCAGAGAGATGGGGAGGCCAACATGTGCACATGGGTATTTTTCTAGAGAGAAGATCCAAACATATTTACAAAGAAAACCATAGACAGAAGAAAAGGAGAAGACCTAGAACTAAGTGATTTGTCTTTAAGATGGAATCTTTGGCTTAAGAATCTGGCAGCTATCACCCCCTCCCCCCCCAAGCTTCCTACAGGACTTGCTGGAGTCCCAGGATTCTCCACGCCCACCTGACCTTGTCATCACTGTTATCCCAAGAATAGACAGACTCACCAGAAGGCGACGGGTGCAAGGAGCTGAGGCTGGGCTTGAGGTCGGGCAGGAAAGGAGACTTCACCTCCTGGCTTGGGGACATGTAGGGGACGCTGCTGCTGGGGGTCATAGGTGGTGTGGGGTTTCCCGGCAGAGGGGAACTAGGGTAGCCCGGGATGGAACGGGCAGGCTGTAGGGGTTAAGCACAAATAGTCATGGTAGAATGGCGGGGTGGGTGAGAGTGGGGTCTGCTCATGAGCAGGCTCTGGGAACCACGAGAACAGGTGGGTAGGAGGCAGCCCCAAGGGTGCCTGGTTGGGCATCCACACTTCCTCCTGCCTGGGTATCCCTTCTCCGTGTGCCCACCCCATGAGCCTCCCGGCCCATCTGGGCCCCTACCCCACTCAGGCTGGGCTGGCTGTAGCTGATGCTGCCCCCGTTGAAGCTGGCGCCCTGCCCGTTGAACTGTTCTGTGGGCTGCGGGAGAGAAAACCGCATGCGCCTGGAGCTCGGCCTGCTCCCCAATGGGCTCCCTGGCTTTATGTTTCAAATATATTCCAAATAATCAATAGGGAACATCAATGATTTCATAATGTAAAAACATCACCATTATGGAGAAAGAAGTGACCCCACATACCTGGAAATACACAGTGCACTCCACCCCCACCCCCACCCCCAAGACAGGGCAAATAGCTGGCAGTGAGAGCCTGTCCCCTCACTGGGCTTCTCTACAGTGAGCAGAGGGAACGGGGACACTTTTCCATAAAGGTTTTTCAGATATATCAGGTGCCTGCCTGTTGCTCCCTGCATCAAATCTCCACTAGAGGTTCTGGAACTGGACCTCCCATCTCAGGAGCAGCGCCTGCACTAGTTGGAAGCCCATCCCCCCCAGCCAGCCTGTTGCTCTTGAGGACAAGAATGTCTCAAGGTCCCCTGTGTCCTAAAGCACTTGGCATGGGGCCCAGAATAGGGCCTGGAGGAGCCAGCCCTACCTTGTAGTGCAGTCCCATGGGGCCGGGCACGGACAAGGACTGGCCCATGCCCTGCTGCAGGGGCAGCCTGTGCCCAGGATAAGAGGGGGCAGGGGGCTGCCCAGGGCCGGGTGTAAACTGGGCAGTGCTGGGCGTGTACTGGCCTCCTTGCAGGTACTGATGCCCTGGATACACCTGAGGAAGAGGCAAAATGCCCAAGGGGAGAAAAGTATCAGAGGACCCAGTTCCAGAAGCAAAGCAACATCTCACGCAACATGGGGTTGGGGGGTGTGGGGGCTTTTTGGTCCCCTTAGGAACTCTGTTGTGGCACTGTCAGGCACAGGTCATTCTCTCTCACATGCAGACACCTCCTCCTACCACAGGTCTGAAGGTGCTTGAGTGAGGGAGTCAGCACCCAGGGCCCCAGGCACGGTGACCTTAATACTCACCTCGGAGTAGGCTCTCTTGACCCCCTGTCGGGGCAGTGGCTGAGCCTGGGGAGGCCCAGAGTACCCATGCTGGGGCAGACGCTGCCCTGCATACAAGGGTGTCATTCCTGCTGCCCGGGTGGGGTTCATGGCCATGGGGGAGAGGCCAGAGGGACTCATCACCCCTCCCATGCCTGTAGGGTTTATGCCAGTGGGGACACTGGGCCCCCGGGGACCTCCATGCTGCAAAAACTGGTTGTTAAAAGACTGTCCAGCCCCCATCTGGGAAGAGAAAAAAGAAGACTGGTCCAAGCACTACCCACAAAGATGACACCCAAAAGATGGGCACATTACCCACCCACCTACCACTATGAGCACTATACTCCCTCACAAACCACCCCAGGGCCCTATCTACACAGACCCTCTCTCCTTTCCACTCATCTCTCTTTCACTAGCCTCATAAGCCTCTGGCACATTCTGTGCTTATCCTTGGACTCCCACTGCCACGTTGAGTCCCAACCCCCAGTCTCATGCTGGCTGATATGAGAGAGGAGCTGCTAGGAAGAATGGAGCCTCACCGCTCCATACTGGCTCAGCTCCTGGCTCTGCTTTTCCTGGAGAGCAGCCACCGTGGCTGTGGCTGTGGCTGTGGCCGTGGCTGCAGCAGCAGCCACAGCAGCAGCAGCTGCTGCTTGTGTAAAGTCGGTGGAGGGTCGTGCAGCATGTGAGGGGAGGCCCATGCCTCCTGGTCCACCTGCATACCTGTAAGAGACATAACACTGCCACACTCTCTCCATGGGCTCCTGAAGGTCAGGCCCAGCTTACCCTGGGGCATGCAGCACCCACAGAGAGCCCATCCTTCCTACACTCTCACTATAGCTGGAGCCCATGGAAAGCAGAAAGGTAATGTCCAGCTGGTCAGCATTATGGTTCTGAGGTACCCATCACGTCAATTGCTCCTAGCACACCTGCCAGATGGAGGAACCTGCTTACCCAGTGGTGAAGCTGGGGCCCGCAGGGTAGCCCCCACGGCTGTACACGCCTTGCTGCACGTATCCCTTGCTGGTGCTGCCTTCAGCAAATGCCTGCTGTCCTAGGCACTGTGGAGAAGTCAAGGCAGAGCTGCCACCTGCCACTCCAGGCATCATGGAGCCACCAGAGGGGCTCCCTGCAGGGCCCATGGGGTTCCCTAAAACCTACAAAGAATCAGGAGTCACTAAAGGGAAGCAGCCAGATAATTCACTTTAAGTAGTGGCTCTAAAGTGATAAAAACTAAGAGGCCTGGCAAGTATGGGGAGCAGCTGTCCACAGGTCAGGTCAGGGTGGTCTGTGGAGGCTGGGAGAACACAGAAGAAAGCTCCATAGCAGGTGTGGAAGGAGAACCAGTCCAAAGACTTGGGAGTCTCAGGAGGCCCTGTCCTAATGCCTTGGCCTCCCCACCCTTACCTCTTAGCCTCCTTGTGTCCTGGAGCTCTAAGTACTAGGCTCTGCCAAGGCTCTGGCTCCTGGAGGGTGGGACCTAGATGGCTGCCTACCTGGCTCTGTGTTGCGTTGCTGACTCCCCACACAGTAGTGACCACAGACAGCGATCCAGCTGGCTGAGTGGCGCTTTGTTGCCAAGGCACAGACTCGTATGCGAATGAACCATCACTAAAGAGAAAGAGGCTGATGAGGACTGGGTGAAGAGACCATAGGTGCCAAAGAGCCCAGGACCTTCCAGAAACACCACCCCATCCAGGGCCTGTGAAGGTGAGTAGAGCAGCCCACACTCACCCATGTGGTGTGGGGGGCAAGGCAGGTTTCATGGGGTTCATGGAGTTCATTGGCGACAGGGCAGCCTATAGGCCAGGTCTGTCAGTGCTTATCTGGGACTCAGCTGCTCTGGCTGCCAGACAGAAGGGAAGGGATATTAGTTGAGATGTAGCCAAGATACCTTTTCAGCAGCAGGGAGGAAGCCCAGGGCCCCAGGCCTCATCCATTCCTCTGGCAGGGACCTCGGCCCTGGAGGGCTGGGCAGTGGGCAGCTGCCCTTGCAGACCAAGCCTGAAAGCCAACATGAACCCTTTTTGACCTGGGCCCTGCTAATAAGAGCTGCTGGGTCAACCCTGGAAACAGATTTCCTGATCCCAAATACCTCCTATACTCTCCCTCCCACACCAAGGCCTAGATGTCCACACAAACCAGGGAGAATCCTGGAAGTCCCACAGCAAGAGGGGGGCAAGAGAGGACCTGGTTACCAAGAGCCTCTTAAAACGTCCTAAGGTAGAGAGGATAGAGGGCCAGTGGAGGGGATGCCCTACTCAAGGCCTTGCCTACTCTAAATAGTTTAGGTAGCCAGGAGGGAGGAGGCATAGGTATCTCTGGGGCCAGGAAGGCCAAGAGGGGGAATGCAGGGGTGTGGTAATTGGCCTGTGAGGTGGGTTGGAGGGGGCAGAAACTCAAGTCCAGATGCCAGCCCTTCCCATTGGGAAGAGCTCTCCCCAGAGGAGATGGGCTCCAGACCAGGGAGAATGGAGAACTAGCCCAGACCCCACCGTGGGGGTGGGTAGGGTGCTGCCAGGAGCTGATGTGGGCACACCCAGGCCAGGCAAGCAGACCCAGCCCCCATAGGCCCATTGGTGACACCCTCAGCAAGTTTCCAAAAGGCAGGCACATGCATGTGCGCACGCGCGCTCGCGCACACACACACACACAGAGCACAACAGGTGGAGGGGTAGGGACCCACAGACATAGCAAGGGGCCATGACATGGCCAGTATTTATAATGGGAGAGGGGCACAGAACCACCTCTGCGAGCTGGGGCTGCATGTACACTGGGGACTCAGAGACCAGGACAGGGCAGCAGAGGGCAATAGATCAGGAGAGAATGCAGCCAGCTGATCCTGGTGGGACCAGCTGCTGACAACATGGGACTTCCCCCCACTGTGCTGGGTTTGCTTCCCTCCATTTAGTAAACAGCTGCAGAAGTGACCACACCTCCAGGCTGGTTCCGAGCCACACCCTCCCACACTGCCACAACAAGCTCATTATGGAAGTGGACCCAGACATTCCCCGGGGCCCTCATAGGCACTGCCTTGGTCCTGACACCCCAGGGCCACCTTCCGCGCCCACCTCTGCCTGGTGTAATCAGAGAGGTGTGGCACTGGGTGAGGCCATTTAAGCTGATTCTCAAGGAGGCCTTGGGGAAGACCAGGGAATGTTCTGTCCTGGATATCCCTCCTCTTAGGGGCCACAACGCTGACATACATGTGGACACATCACTCAGGACATGCTGACCTCTGGCCTTTCCATTCTGCCATTCCAGCATTCACAAGGCCTCTGCACCTGGCACAGGAGAGAGAAGGTACCCCAGCACCCACCTAACCCTAAGGCTGACACTCCTGTGTGCCAATCAGGAGCCTCACCCATAGCACAGCACCTACTGAGAAAAAGGAACGGCTTCATCCCCTCTTGCAAATACAGACCCAGGGGCTCTGCAGTGTAAGCCATGCCCAGAGCCCTAGAGCCAGTAAGAGGTAGAAGTCTTCCACTGCACCTGTCCCATGAGCACCAGGACTGGGAGAGGAGGGATGCTGGAAAGGGAGGAGGTCTGAGCTTCCTGACACCTCAGGGGGAAGCTAGTCTCCTCCCCCAGGAAGCAGAGGCCAGAAAAAGCAGGAGCTAATGGCTTAGAGCTCCTGACAGTGACAGGCTTGGGAGTGAGGATGGCCCAGCTGGGCAAGGGAGAGCTGGCAACCTCAGTTCCACTGTCCTACTCTGGGATGGTGCTGCTGGGGGACAGGAGTACCTGGCAACAGCCAGAAACTCTTCCCAGACCTGCTGGGTGGGGTCTGAGGCAGCTAAGCATGGATTTCAGGATATATAAGGCACATACGATAATCAAAACCATGTGGCATTGACAAAGGAACAGGGCAAGAGAAGAGACTACAGAACATAAAACAGACCCACACAAGTACCCTCAACTGATGTTTGACACAGGCACAAAAGCAATTCAGAGGAGGAAGGACTGCCATTCCAACAAACGGGATTGGAACAACTGAACATCTGTAAGCTAACAACAACAAAAAACCCACTAAACTTTATACAGAAAGTAACTCAAAATGGCTTTACAAAATTAATGTAAAACATAAAACTACAAAATGTTTAGAACGCTGGGCACAATGACTCACACCTGTAATCCCAGCACTTTGGGAGGCCAAGGTAGGACTGCTTGAGACCAGGAGTTGGAGACCAGCCTGAGCAACATAGCAAAACTGCCACTACAAAAAGTTTTTTTTTTTTTTTTTTTGAGACAGTCTCACTATGTCATTAGGTGTTGTTGTGTTGTGATGTCAAAGCTCACAGCAACCTCAAACTCTTGGGCTTAAGCAAGTCTCTTGCCTCAGCCTCCCAAATAGCTGGGACTATAGGCACCTGCCACATGCCCGGCTATTTTTTTGTTTTCTTTTTCGTAGTTGTTATTGTTGTTTGGCAGGCCTGGGCCAGGTTCGAACCTGCCAGCCCTGGTTGGGGTGGCTGGGGCCCTAGCTGCTGAGCTACAGGTTCGGAACCACTACAAAAAAGTTTTTAAAAATTACCTAGGCATGGTGGCATGTGCCTGTAGTCCCAGCTATTCAGTTGAAGTGGGAGGATCCCTTGGGCCCAGGAATTTGAGGTTATAGTAAGCTATGATCATGCCACTGCAGTGCAACCTGGGCAACAGGTTGAAGGCCCCGTCTCTTAAAAAACAAAAACAAAAATCTCTTGACCTGACTGAGATACCAAATATTTTTCTCTTATGCATTTTCATAAACTTTTTTTCAAAAAAGGTCTCACTTTGTTGTCCAAGCTGGAATGCAGTGATGCAATCATAGCTCACAGCAGCCTCCTAGGCACAAGTGATGCTCCCACCTTTGCCCTCCCAAAGTATTAGAATTACAAGTGTGAGCCACCTTGCCTGCCTTGCTCTGCAGGCAAGGAGTTTTACATGGACACCAAAAACATGATCCATAAAGGAAAAAAGTTGATAAATTGGGCTTCATCAAAATTAAAAAAATTTCCTGTATTAAAGATCCTGCTGAGATGAAAAGACAAACTACAGGCCAGGAGAAATATTTGCAAAGTGCATACCCAGCAAAGGACTAGTATTCAGAACTAATAAAAAACACTCAGGGGCGGCACCTGTGGCTCAAAGGAGTAGGGCACTGGCCCCATTTGCCGCAGGTGGCAGGTTCAAACCCAGCCCTGGCCAAAAACTGCAAAAAAACCCCAAAAAACAAAAAACCACCCTAATGAGAAAATAAGCAAAAAAACATGAGACACTTCACCAAAGAGGATATACAGATGGCAAATAAGCATGCGAAAAGATGTTCAGCATCACTGGCAGTAGAGAAATGCAAATTAAAACCACAATGAGATATCACTACACATCTATCAGAATGGCTAAAATTAAAAATAGTGACATCACTAAATGCTGGCAAGGAGAAACTGGATCTCTCACACATTGCTGGTGGGGATGCAAAATGCACAACCACTCTGGAAAACAGTATGGTTATTTCTTACAGAATTAAGCATGCCATTACCACACTATCACCCACCAAACGTACTTTTGGGCACTTATCTGGAGAAATTAAAACATACATTCACATAAAAACCTGTACATGAATGTTTATGGCTGCTTTATTTGTAATAGCCAAAGAATGGAAAAAGCCCAGAGGTCCTTCAGAGGATGAACAGTTAAACCAACTGTGGTACATCCATAGCCTGGATGCAATAAAAAGGAATAGACTACTGATACACACAACAAATTGAATGAATCTCCAGGCAATTATACGGAGTGGAAAAAGCCAATCCTAAAAGGCCGTGTGATTCCTTTTATTTGGTATTCTTAACTCCCCCCCAATTAGGGAAATGGAGAATAGATTAGTGATTGCCAGGGGTTAAACATGTGGAGAGGGGAGAAAGGTACTAATCTCTCCTCCATTTCCATAATTTTGGTAGGGTAGAGGTGGGTGTGAATATGAGAAGGAACAGGAGGAGCTCTTGACTATATCAATGTAGTGTCCTGGTGTGACACTGTATTATAGTTTTGTAAGATGTTACCATTGGAGGAAACAGGGTAAAAGATACAAGGGACCTCTATGTGTTATTTCCTACAACTACATATGAATCTCCAATTAGCCCCAAATAAAAAGTTTCAATACAAAACAGTTACTACCACCAGTCCTCTTTCTCCTCAGAAATCTCCTGACAGTCTTTTCCCACCACAGAGCCGGCTGGGTTGGCCTGCCTGGCTTTGCTGCACCAAGAAACACGGGAGTGGGGGTGGGGGGTGGGCAGACAGGCAGATGACCCCCCAGCTCCCATGCACAACTGCCTCTCAGGTCCCCTAGGGCAGCAGCTCAAGTTCAGTGCATCAGAATCAGCTAGTGGGCTAGTGTCAACAGGCTGCCCAGCCCCACCCCAAGTCAGCTGGTAGGGGCTGGGACTAAGCCTTGCATTTCTAACAAGTTTGCAGATGCTGTTGCTGCTAGTCCAGAGACCACAGTTTGAGAGCCTAAGACAGGGCAGGCAGAGGGCGGAGAGCTCACAGCAGCCTCTTTTGTCACATGTGCCTGGGGAATTCCACCCTCGATGTTTCTCTGCTGTGGACAGAGACCACAAGCATTTCCAGTTCCCCCAAGCTTACTCCTCATTGTACTGGGGGATTTCCTGCTGAGCTCCTGAACTCACACCCTGGTCACCTCTCTGGGTTTGTCTCTCTGGGAATCCTCCGCTCCTCAGGTCTGATATCCTTGACTCTCTGCCCCTGGCCACAGGAAGGCACTCTGTGTGTACAGATCCTCCTCCCACCTTCTGCTCTGAGGCAGGGCTGGAAACAAACCTGGAGCTCAGATCCCAGATTGTG